TTTTTTTTGCATTTATTCTGATTCTCACATATAAGTATATATTACCGCGATTTGGTTTTGATTTTGAACAGTCAATTTACAGTTTCAAATCCAATTTGAACAGTTGGTTCAAACTTTCTTTTAAAATTTTATTTTTTTACTTTTAAAATTGTAAATTCAACAATTAATGTATTTTATTTTTTCAATTCAGAACATGAACAGAAAGTTTCGGTTCGTGATTTTAATAAACTCTAAATCGGGTTCCGGTTCTAAATTGTCATCATAACCTCTCTGTTTGGTTGTTATAGTGTCAGTTCGGTTTGAACCAAATCGTGGTTATAATTTGTTGGAGAAGAAAAATAAATGAAATATTTATTTTAAGGATAAATATGTCCATTTAACATATTAGGGGAAAAAACTGCCACCTAAATAATTTATGGGAAAAAAGTGCTATAAGTATATATAGACTCAGGTTCCCGTGCGGGTGAATGCTTCCCGTGCGGTTGTGCGGTTATTAATGTGCGTGAGATTTGTACTCAATGTGCGTGAGTGTTGTATCTAATGTGCTTGAGATTTGTACTTAATGTGCGTGAATGTGTAAAATACAGCAGAAAAGTGGAGACCTACAAGATAGTTTCTTCGCTAGCTTTGTTCTCGGATGGGTTATCACAAATGGTGCTGGTATTGCTTCTTACCCAAAGATGATGACATCTGGTGAAGCCGTCAAGTACAAGAGCTCTCTTGATGCTTTTGCTCAGATTCTTAAGAATGAAGGTGTGAAATGGGTGCTGGTGCAAACATTTTATCATGACTATATGGGTGCTTCTCTTTTCAGTAGCATAGCTCAGATTCTTAAGAATGAAGGTGCGAAAAGGGTGCTGGTGCAAACATTTTATCATGACTATATGGGTGCTTCTCATTTCAGTAGCATAGTTATATGGTGATTTTCTGTTCTGCTTCTTTCTGAGTTCGTAATTCTGAACTACTCACGCACATTAAGCACAAATCACACGCATATTAAGCACAACACTCAGGAACATTAAGTACAAAACTCACGCATATTAACATCACGCACATTAAACACAAAGCTCACGCACATTAAGAACAACACTCACGCACATTAAGTATAAACCTCACGCACATTAATCCACCGCACAACCGCACGGGAAGCAACAAATGCACTTGATCCCTTCCCTATATATATATATATATATATATATATATATATATATATATATATATATATATATATATATATATATATAGAGAGAGAGAGAGAGAGAGAGAGAGGGAGAGAGAAAGTTAGGTTCAGGTGCGACGGTGTGGTGTCACCAATAGTTCAACAAATATACACCATCAACGTTAGGAAAATACACCACAAAAATACACACAAATTAGGTACGCATCACCATAAACACACAATTAGGCGTGAGTAAAAACATCATACAGTGTTCGGAAATACACTATTGGGGTGTGGTGAGTTATATGGTGTATTTTTAGGGTCTATTGTGTATTCTGTGATGTTTTTTTTTTTTTTTTTGTATTTCATTGTGGTGTGTTTCCCATACACTGTTGGTGCATATTAATAACACTGGTGGTGTATTTTGTAACCCCGCCGCACCGCCGCACGGGAACTTTTTTCCTATATATATATATACTAGTAATTGTCTCGTGCGATGCACGGATAAAACTTATACAATGTTAAGTAAAATTACTTTAATATTAACCTAGAGAATATTTTGTAAAGATATTCATTGTTGAAGTATATTAAAAAATAAAAAGTTTTATGTAAAGATACTAAATGCATTAATATAGAAAATAGTTCGCCGGAGCATATTTGAAGCTGTTAAGTAAACTTTGTGTTCAAGTCAATTTTGAAGCCAATGGCTTAGGTAAGTACATTTCGAATATTATCTGGATTTTATTTACACAACTTTAATACTATATATATATATATATATATATATATATATATATATATATATATATATATATATATATATATATATATATATATAAGAGCTTAATAAAACAATTTAATTTAAGAACCGTTCTGTAGTGGTTCTTATTTACAGATCTAGAAGACTGGATTCTCAGAATTGTTAGATCTGTATCTAACTAACAACGTTTAAAGTTTATGGCCATGAATAAATTTCTTCTTAAATTCCATTCCAAACTCATAGTACCTTCATACCAACATGTTCTCGGATTATCAAGAAACCTCTATGTTAAATAGTGCTATAACTATATTCAAGAAACTCTAGCACTTCTTATTTTCAAATATTGTTTACAGCAGTCAAGTATAAAAAAAAATATGTATCCATCTTCTAAAATATTTCTTACAGCAGTTAGGGAAAAATTATGAGGAAGATTACACTCTATTTTTAATTTTTTTCATAATTATGTTGCAAAGTAAAGTTTGATATCATGCGTTGAACTCCCAAATTAGAAAAAGAATATATATTAAAACTAAAAATAAAAATACATTTCAATTTACACTTTAAAATAGAAATACTTATACAAAACCAATACTAAAAAATTGAATAGTTTTAGAAGACTATTCTTCTTCTTGCACAATACAACCAAAATTGAACACAACTCAAAGCAAAACCAAGTTTTTCTAAATACTAACTGTCTTCTTCAGTTCTTCCAGATTGCTTCACATTGTCAATCACTTTAAAGTGGTTGTTAATGATTGCAAGTGTGCTGAACTATCTGCAAAAAAAAAAAAAAAAAAAAAAAAAAAAAAGCCTTGCAAATAACATAAAATAGATTTAACTGATAATACCATTCATTCAGTAGAAAATCATTAACTCCAAACTCAATTTAGTTGAGTTTAACGGTTGTAATCAGCAATCATTCACACAAATTTGTAATGATTGAAAAATGAATAAGTCATGAAGTAAAGCAAATAATGTAAAATCCACACCAACAATGCAGATATCACATTAAGGCACAATTACCCAAAACATTCCAAATGAATCTCACTGCCTTTCATCACAAATTTAGAACACTGTATCAAAAACCACCGACTTTTCATTCATATCAAATGTTTAGAAAAAAAGGAATTTTTAATCCCATATACTCTCCCTTCTTTAAACCAATTAAGGAACCTTTCAACATGTTCTTTAAAATAAAAGCATGAAGGAATGTTCCCTGAAAAATGTTGAAGTTTAATCATAAAAACAGTATTAATATAACAATACTGCTTACAGTCTAATTCTAATAAATCTTAATTCTTATTTAAATCATACCTTTTGATCATGAAAGACAACTTTTATACACTAAATTCATGAATAACTTTTTCGTTCAGAAACTTCATATATTCTCTAACAATGCGTAGGGTATTGCACTCTTTGTGTTCATGGGAGAGATTTCACGTGCAACAATGTACAATGGATATATTTTCTATATTTTTTATATTGACAGCCATTCTTTCTGATTGTTTTCACGATTAGTAGTGTTTGTATTGAAGACAAAAGTGATGTATTTATAATTGTTTAGCAGTCTTTGGGAGAAGAATTGTTTAGCAGTCTGTTGAAATCCATTTGTTTTCAAAAAAAAAAAAGGAAACGAATCGTTTTGACGCCATTTATTACGTTGATAAAAACCAAGCGTCCAAATTAAATATTACCCCGTACTATGCTTATATTAATAATTTTTTCTTTGGTAAATGAACAGCCGCTTGTCTATATGTATTACTCACTGAAAATCAAAAATTAATTAACTTGCCGCCGGTCTCTATGTATTTTCCACTGCATCAGATTGGTAAATTATTAAATCATTATAAATACAATACAAACTAAACGCTGTCGTTTCTTGCTGGGCGGGAAAACTATAGGTTCTGCTATATTATAGTAAGGATATATATATATATATATTTTAAATTCCAATCGAAAACTTTTTATACGCACAGATTCACGGTTGTAATGTCTTGATTAAGATTTTAATTTAAAAAAAAAATCAGAGTTAAAAGTATTTATTAAAATACTTCATAAGATGCTTCAAAACCGACGTTGTTTCTTTATTGTTTTAATTACTACGGTAATATATGCTACACCTAAAAACTTACGTGAAAAGTGTAAGATAGCCGTAATTGAAATTGATTTTTGTAATAGTGAAAGCAAAGATACATATTAGATGTGGTATATCGAAACTGGAGCGCTAGTAATGAGCTCCGAAGCGGGAACTTCAATCTATTGACCACATATAATATATAAACATAAATTTACAAAACAACTATCATCTCTAGTTAAGATGAAACACAAACTTCAATTGGATATCAAAGTCAATTATATGTCACTGTGGTCCACGTGTTGTGAAGGGCGACAATTTATATCATTGATCAGGGTCCACATTGTATTATAGACCATCAATCGAAGTAACGAGGTACAAAATTCATACTCAATGGCACATAATTTCATAATACAAGATAAAAAAGCACATAAATTTACTTATTTTTCAATTTTGATTTAGGTACATAATTTGTGTTCATAGGCACAAAATTTCACAATACAAACACAAAAATTCATAAATACTCTTAAAACATATACACATGCACATGGTCTACAGTGCTCTGTGAACGAACCCTGGTCCATGGTATAAGGATTAGCAAAGGGTTTGACGGATTTGTACACATATAAACATAATTGTACAATCCAACTCTGAGAAGAGACTTTTAATTGAGATATAACACATGCTTCAAAACAATCTACATGCATGAGTTTATTAAAGCAGAAACAGTACTAAAGCTACTGTGAAAACATAATATTTCTGACCATCAAAATATGTAGTTATGATATGATTGAATCATCATGGCATCATACATATATATTACAAACAAACATTTAAAAGAAGAAGAAAAACATATCATGGGCACCCCCAACCCCCGCGACAAGGCACTTTATTAGGTAACATTCCAAAACCAATGCTAGCAAGGATAAACGGCAATGACTTTTCTACAAATTACAGAATACGTGACATTTCTTTACCTCACATTCACACACACACACACAGCATACTCAAATGCCAAACGTGACCTTGGAGCAGTCGACGTTGGGATCAACCTTGTAAGGAAAATCCACCCCACACTTTCCGGGGATTTCAGCCGCCCGGCTAAGCTGCGCTGCACCGGCACGCGAAGCCACGGACTTCAAGCACGAGCACGCGCTCTGCCGATCCGCCGTCGTCTGCGCGCCGCTAACCAGCGTCTTCACCCCGCCGCAACACTCCGACGACACATTCCCGCCGAACAATATGTAGCTTAGACACGGTTTCAGGTCCCCGTAGACTGTGTCGCATGTGATCGCCGATTCGCCGCGCGGTGCAAGGGTCACCACCACGAAGAGGAAGACCAAGACTGAGGATGAGCCACTTAACTTTCTTGAGAGAGCTGCCATTGTATTTGCAGTGCAAAGATTTTAGATCAGAACAAGTACTTAATTACTTGCGGAGACTAGTTAAGTTAAGGCCTACATTAGAGGCCTTATATAAATAAAGAGTTGGTGTATAATACTTTTTGTCTACGTCTCATACAATTGCTATACAATGGATCAAGTTCGATCTTGGGATGTGGACCATGGTTCATGAAATATTATGTATCTGTTGTTAGATGTTGATATATTATGTACTTATAGTTACCAATTTATATACCTGGCATGTGAATAAATTGAAGAGATGTTAACAACAAATAGATAAAATAGTAATTACAAAACATAAACGACTAACTACAAGTACAAAATTTGTTAACTGCAAACACGTAATATATTGTTACCATTATATATATATATATATATATATATATATATATATATATAAATGCGCTCATATGCGGTCATCATCTGTCATGCGGTCGTGCGGCCTTATCTGTATCATCCGATCACATAATGCACCACAGAGCACTCAAATATGCACCACAGAGCACTCAAATATGCACCACACACTAGCACCCCGATAACGGGTCAATTGAACCCGTCGACGGATTTGACACCCCCGTTGAGTGGTGTAATACAAATCAATGCACCATGAATCACTCAAAAATGCACCACACATTAGCACGTAATGCACCATCGAAATATACATGGTGCAAGAAATTACGAAATTTCCACCGCGTAATTTCTCTTCTTCATTCATTGATTTTCAGTCGTTTGATCTCAGTTCATCCTATGGTTCTAATATATCTGCATGACCGCATGGGAGACTAAGGCCGCACCAGAACTCTACTATATATAACATATTTTGTACATACAGTTAACAATTTATGTGTTTGTAGTTAACATGTTATATTATGTACTTTTAATTTATTTACCGACAAATAAACGGTTTACTGCAAATACAGAATATGTTAACTGCAATCACATAATTTAAAAGGTTTTTTGGCTAAATACAAATTGTTAATTTTAGGTTAACAGTTCATCAGTATTTTTATGCGACATATTTTAATATTTTTCATACTCTTTCTGTCACTAAAATTTCTTGATTGATATCTAATAAAAATTTCGACTTTCAATAAATATAACAACTTTTATTACTCAATATGAACATCCTTTATAAACCTTTTGCATTTATTATTTAAAACATTTACATTGCATTTATTATATATGGATGAAAATAGAAATATATCCCTTTCTTATATAATTAGGGTGTTGTGTGATCAGGATATTATTTAAATGGAGGAGAAATTTGAATTTAATGGGTAGGGATTGCATTGAATTGAAATTAAAATGCGACAAAATCTCCTACGAGAACGTTTCAAGAATTCTAATATGTGAGACATGTCGACTTTTTCATAAATATTACACTTTCACTAATAAATATTACAAATTTTCTCATCATAACTAACTTTTCAACTCTTAATATTATTTTGTTTCAAATATAGAGTTAATTCCATCTAGTCATAGATTTATAACTGTCAGTCCACTTTTAGTTCTTTTAATTTTTTTTTTCAGAACATCCAATTTTGGTCCTATTATTATTATTATTATTATTATTATTATTATTATTATTATTATTATTATTATTATTATTATTATTATTATTATTATTATTATTGTGGCGTAACCATTTTTTGGTCATCTATCAACACAACAGTTTAAATTTCATTAAATGTAAGGGCATTTCAGTCTTGAATTATGGAATTTTCAAAAAAATAAAAATATAAAAAATATAGCGGGTCAACTTACTTGTATAAAAAAGATTGAAATGTCATTGTATTTAACAACATTTCAACGATTTTTGTTGACGGAGGACCAAAAATGATCATAGCACAATAATACTATGATCAAATTAGGATGTTCTGATATAAAATGATTTAAAGTGGACTGCAACCTATAAATCTAGGACTAAAAATAAAATTAACTCTTAAATGTATTGTATTTTTCTTTTATCAAAAGTATTACATTTTTTTCTCATAAGTAGTACTCTTTCTCTCATAAATAATAATCAATCAATTTATTCATGATTAGTATTATATTTTTTCTTGTAAATAATTGTTTAAACCCTAAATATTACATTTTGATTTAAAAGTATTATTTCGTATTTTTTGACCTCCAAAGTATTATATTGTCAACTTAATCCGATTCATCTCATAGATAAAAATTTATGATAGTTGTCACAAGAGATTCATCATTAATTAAAATAAAACAATGACAAACCTTTAGTCGTCATTTCCATAATGAGTTTAATTTGATTAGTATGTAGTCAAGTGTACACGCATCTTTTTGCGTGCAAGAAGAGCTTAAGCATCAATTTATTATTGTATTTAAATTTTATCATTTTATTTATTTTATAATCTTTTTAATGTTTTGTAAGTTACTGGCTCTATTACATTTCTGTTCATATACTTTCTCAACCTATTGAAACACAAAGAACCAATAACGCCTCCACTGAGGCTCGAACTTATAATCTTCCAAATGGAAGTCCAACCCGGATACCATTGGACCACATAGTCCTGGTGTTTTGTTAGTGTCTTTAATTGTTAATTTCTTAACATAACGTACTGTCGAAGGTGATCTTCTTTGTCAGTTAATTATTTGTTAATGGAAAATGGTGAAAATGTTTACACATAATATTTAGCCCCTAAAGATAAAATAATTGCTATAGAAAGAAATATTTTCAAGTGCTCACTCTCATTAAATATTTGTGTGATTTCAACATTATAGAAGGGAATACTGGGACTTGCCACCTTTCCCGGCCTTATCTTTTTCTTTTTGTTGTTTCCCTTTTCATGACGCGGGATTATGGTCCAGCTGCCTGGGTCCTACGACCCAAGAGAGCTTTGGGATTATAGAGGTGTTTGCTTGGGAAGGATAGTTGGTAAAGTGAAGGATGAAACCAATCTTCTCCCAAATGTTTGAATTCCCAACTTTAACAGGGCGACATTTGGCTGGAAGGAAGGAATTAACGGGAAAAGGAATTATAATTCGATGGGAAAAGAATAAGGTGGGAATAAAGTAGGAATTACAATTACATTGTTTGGTAGGGAAGAATAATGGAAATGGGAGAAGTGATATAAAGATTAAAATACTCTTGTGTATGGATGAATTGAAGGACAAATATGTCATTTCTTTCCTTTTCCCTTTTCATTGTATGGATGAACTCATTAAATTGCAATTCATATGGGACCTATGAATTGCAATTTCCTCAAACCAAACAATGTAGTTGATTATTTAATTGAATTGCAATTCATGCCAACTAAACACCCCATAAGGGTATTCCCACACTCGCTCGACATAGCATGTGAGAGAATATAAATCACAAGAGCATGACAGAACGGATGTAAATCACGATAACTCAGTGTTTCAGCAAACATGATCAAATGCCGGTGCTCACAAGGAATATGTCAATTTTGAACATAATCCCACATTATATATATCGTTTTTGCGGAGTTTTGAACCTTAATTTCTTTTCTCAAATATTGCGTACCGAACTAGTGAGTTAAGCTTGTGCGGTCAGGATGAAGGCAATCTACTGCGAGGAGATGGGGAGTTTTAGATTTTGAGTTGAAGTTGGAGAACTAATACAATTTCCTATCAAATAGGTGCCATTTTGAGTAGATGTGTTATGTTTACTTTAAGAAGAGAATTGATGGAAGAAAAAACTAAGGGGATGAGATAGAAACAAAGGAGGGGAGAATACAGACAAAGAAGGATGGAGAAATATAGAAATATTGTATTGTATTATTATTTTTGTTGTTCTTTACGATATATGGATTCTGTTATTTATAATATTCTAATCTATTATATTAATAATTCCTATTCAGTCCCAACTAATTATAATGTTCTACCGATTATAACAATATAATAATCCATTATAATCTCCCCGAACTCTACTAATATAATAAAACCTACAAATAGTTATTTTTATAAATAAAATTAATTTATAATTATAGATTTCTAAGGATGTATCACCCCTTTGAAAACAAAAGTGTAAAAATGAGCATACCCATGCTTTAGTAATACTACTTGTTTAGGCTTCATGTGCGCTTCGCCTAGTTACATGAATCCTTGCATCAGGTCTTTTTTTTTTTTTTGAATTTGAAAGCAGGTCATGTTTAATTTTGGACCATTTATTGTGAACCCTTTTTGTCGTGATCAGGGTGACATTTTAATCCAGATGGACTAGAGGTGTACATACTCTTTCTTGAGATAATTGGGAATGTAGAGTTGTAGACTCACAAGTTTAAATCGTACGTCATCCATATTTAGTTCATCAAAATTGTCATTGGAAATTGTAACAATCTTTGTAACTAGGTAATATCTTCTATTAAGTTTAGGCTTTTATCTCCCCAAAATGTTATGAAGTGATCTTCATAAAGTAGGCATGTATATATAATTATATATTTATATCCTATTTTTCAAAAAAAAAAAAACAAAAATATTGGTATCTTAATATGTTACTTGCACACTTGCACTTTTAACACATGTTACTTACACTTCAACGGGTGTATTAATCCCGTTTGGGAGTTGGTTGAGTGACCAAATTGCGTTTCCTGATTTATTCTTTGCCTTCAAAGTGTGAATTTCTTCATTAATTTTGGCCAATGCATGGGTAGATCTCCGTCGTCTAGTCCATAATCTCAATGGTTTAAATTAATTTACAGGTTCTAACGTATGAGGTGGTTCTCATCTGAACCTGATATATATATATATATATATATATATATATATATATATATATGGGTTCGGTTTAGGTGAGAACTACTTCTTGGGTGTGAACCTTGTGAACTTCTATGCACCGGTGAAATGTGAGATTGGATGGTCAAGATCTAAGGAGTGATGCAATGGTGCATCCGGTACAATTGTGCAGTCGTGATGTGATGCAATAGTGCAGTGATATATATTTAATTACCAGATCAAAATCATTATAAACCACAAGATCAACGGTGTAACGGTACATAGATTCACATGTTAATAGATGTTCTCTTTTGAACCTGATTTATATATATATATATATATATATATATATATATATATATATAGAACTCATTGTCTAATCAAATCAAATTATGTTACCCCAACAAATTGTGTACATCTAATATTATATTTTGTATGTTATCTTGTCATATTTACGTGAAAGCTTATAGGAAAGCTTACAGCCGCTATCAGAATATGCGCTGAGTATGCAATTCGTGTTGTGATCTTAACCAATAGAGGATTAGAGGAAAATTTGATTAGGTTGTCCATAGTTGGAGGACCATTTTGAGAATTAACGCAATTAAGAAAGCGAATAGACAATTTACATTTTTTTTAGTACTACGGACTCTATTAAATAAGAAGTCAAACTTAAAAAGGTTGTAATTACTAATCCAAATGTCTGACCAACTTAGCTGGGTTGTCCCTTTAATTTATAAATTATCTTTTATTTTGACAATTGTTATTCTTCAATTATTTCATTTTGAATTAATAAATTTCACAACAAATAATAATAATAATAATAATAATAATAATAATAATATTATTATTATTATTATTATTATTATTATTATTAATTTGCAAAAAGTCCAATCTCTCATGTCTCTTAATCAAGACATGAAGCTAATGCGCATAGAACGAAAATCAAGCATCGAGGACTGACCGTGCAAATACACATCTATAGAAGTTGCAGTGCACACCAGTACATTAATCGCAAAAATTACACATATGTCAATCACAAATATAGACAATATTATACTCAAGCAATAAATAATTAAAAAACGTAAAAATGAACTTGAGTCCATAGTTGAATAAAAAAACGCAAGAAGAAAAAAAATTCAAAGCAAGATATATATATATATATATATATATATATATATATATATATATATATATATATGAAAAAGTTCAAATGCGGCGATGTCTTCTGGTGCGGCGGAATTTCAGAATACACCAACAGTGTTAAAACCATGCACCAACAGTGTAAGGGAAACACACCACAATTAAATGTAAAAAACACCAAAAAAAACACAACAGACCCAAAAAAAATACATCATATAACTCACCACCCCCAATGCTGTATTTCTGAACACTGTATGGTGTTTTTACTCACACCTAATGGTGTGTTTTCGGTGTTGCGTACCTAATTTATGTGTGTTTTTGTGGTGCATTTTCTTAACGTTGATGGTGTATATTTGTTGAACTATTGGTGACGGCGCACCTAATGACATCGCCGCACTTGAATCTTACTATATATATATATATATATATATATATATATATATATATATATATATATATATATATATGTATGTATGTATGTATGTACACACTGTAAGTTATCTTGTCATACTTGCAGAAAAGTTTATTGTCTACCTGAAAGTGTGCTTAGAGTGAAATCCATAGTATGAGGAGTGTGAGCCTGTGACCTTAGTCGGTGGTAAAGCACTAAAGGAGGTAAATTAACTAGTTTAGGTTGTCCATAACTGATTACTACAACTAAAAAAGACAATTAGATAGTTCCCTTGGGAAATCAAATTTGGAACGTTACACTGTGATTACTAAACCAAATGCCCGACCGAGTTGTTCCTTTGTAAATTATCTTCTATTTTGAGTTTTTGACAGTTGTCATTTGATACGATCCCACATCGGCTCCACAAGAGATTGTGGAGTGGTACTTAAGTTGGGGCTAAACCTCCACTCATGAGCTAGCTTTTGTGGTGGAGTTAGGGTCTTGGCTTGAGTACCGTATCATTTGGTGCTCTCGTTGAGAGGCCGGAGTGTGGTGGGAAAGGGCTACCTGGAAGAGGGCTACCCGGTGCTTGATAAGGTTCAAAGGGAACCAAGAAGAGTCCGGAGTGAAAGCTATCCAGAGTGAAGCCGTCCACTCATCCGGTGCCGGCCTAGCGGAGGGGGCGACCTAGAAAAGGGCTACCTGGTGCTTGATAAGGTCCGGAGTGAAGCCATCCAAGGGGGAAAAGGGCTACCTGGTGCCGAGAAGAGTCCGGAGTGTGAGCCGCCGCGGACGTCGGCTTCTCAAGGGGTGGGTAATGATACGATCCCACATCGGCTCCACAAGAGATTGTGGAGTGGTACTTAAGTTGGGGCTAAACATCCACTCATGAGCTAGCTTTTGTGGTGGAGTTAGGGTCTTGACTTGAGTACCGTATCATCATTCATTAATTATTTCATTTGATTTAATAAATTTCACAATAAATAATAGTAATGTATTATTTTTCAATAACTACTCCAATTTCTCATGTCTTTTAATCAACGTGTATGCTAAAATATAGATTATTGTATAATGGTATAACTAATAATAATTGGATATATCTTTAATTAGTATATCTTATTGTCTCGATCATCATATAAATATATGGATCTCCCTTAGCTGGTGCCATGCATTTTGTGCTCCCAAATCTCATCACTCGACCAGGGAGCAATTGGTGTGGCGGGTGAACTTCAAACGAGAGTCGTCTACACACATCCCCGGCAGCGCAAAGAAGCGGTCAGTTTGCTCCTCGGTGGCGCCCTCAACTAGATCTTGGATGCAATCGCAGACCGTGGTTCTCTTGCCGAACACCTTCAAGTTCGACTTCACGGCGTCGCAGCATACCTTCGGGACCGTCTCCCCTCCCTTTTGCAGGTAGTCGTAGCACGGCTCGATGTTCGTGCCGAACTGGAGGAAGCATGCGTTATCGTAGGCAGAGGGCTCGGCGGAGAGTGCCGTGAAAAGCACGCCGGCGGCCATGCAAGCTAGCAGCAACCATGGAAGGTTAAGGCATTTTGAGAGTGCCATTTGGTATGATGGTTTTTAGTCTATGTTTTGGGGTTCACTTGGAGGCTCCTTATAAGCAGGTATTTTGGGGGTTTTAGTCCTACTGTTGTACGTAAATTGGATGCACGCAGATGCCATGTTAGAACCGACCGGCAATAATATCGTGAATTGAAATATGTTACTCCCTAATAATATAATCTCTATGTTTTAATAATTAAGCATTGAGTTATATTTCAATATATTGATTTTTTTTGCCCGCATGAGCATCTCAACCGGTCACAGAGGTGAAATTTGTCACAAGAGACCAATGATCTAGTCTAATCAGCGATAATGGAGGGACTTTTTGTGCACTGTGTACAAAAGTATAGCATCTGTTGATCAAAAAATCACAATATATTGATTTTTTTAGAAGAAAAATTTTCTTTATGGAGGCCTTATATATTCTAAATAACAAAATGCACCAAAAAGAGGTACTAACCCAATGGCATTGATAGGGATATGCATAGCATATGCACTAGTTTCCGACCTTGGATGTGTTTCCCGACTTGTCAGACTAAGAAGTCGGCCTTACCAAGAAAACCGGATAACCCGTGGAGCCTCTTTTCAACCATCTCATTAACCGGAGACATAGCCAATAATGTATAGATTTGATAAGGTTGGGACAAAATTGTGTAGATTCAAATGATCCCATTAACCCGAGTCAACGATTGGGGAACATCGGTTTTGATTCACCCACCTGACGGTATGAGAAACATCCTTGAGCGTGATGTCAAGAACATTGCTACAAGAAGAATTTAGGGTGTGTTTGGTTGACAGGTATAGCTCTAAGGAATGGGTATCAAAGTGATTGGTATTATTTTGTTGATAATTTTTTAGAATACTACTATGAGTTTCAAATACCCCCTTAATTCAAAAACTCATACCCAAATAAAATAAGAGTATCATCCCCATTTATTCCCTTATTCATTCTCATCCCCTTTAATTAGTGCTTTTAAATTTTTGTTTTTATTTTTTTGTTCAGATTGGTGTTTTGGATGTCTTTATATTAGAGTCAATTGTCTTGATTTTGTGTTCTTGTATTTTTAAAATCTTTATTCCCATTATAGGATCATACATAATCAAACAACATTATTGATAATCATCTCATTCCACCATACTACCAAACATGCAAAATACTTTCACTAAAACCCATTACCATTACCAAGTATTTGATACTCATTCTGGTTCCAATTTTCGTGTGTGAACCAAACACACCCTTACTAATCTTATGGACCTTCCGGTCCTTCATACGCACAATATATATATATATATATATATATATATATATATATATATATATATATATATATATATATATATATAGAATAAAGTTCAAATGCGGCGGGGTCTTCCCATGCGGCGGTGCGGCGAAATTCCAGAATACACCAACAATGTTAACGATATGCACCAACAGTGTAATAAAAACACACCACAATGAAATGCAATAAAAACATCACAAAATACACAACAGACTCAAAAAAATACACTATATAACTCACCACCCCCAATGGTGTATTTTCGAACAGTGTATGGTGTTTTTACTCACACCTAATGGTGTGGTTTGGTGATGCGGGGCTCTGTTTACTCTGTTTTGTGTGGTGTATTTTCTTAACGTTGATGGTGCATATTTGTTGAACTATTGGTGTTGCCGCACCGTAAGACATTGCCGCACCTGAACTCGCCTCTCTCTCTCTCTCTCTCTCTCTCTCTCTCTATATATATATATATATATATATATATATATATATATATATATATATATATATATATATATATATAAACCCAAGTCAACTTAGTAGTGTGCAAACACATAATGTGATCGGTCTGACTGAATTACAATATGAAGGCCTTTATTACTTCAATACGTGATGAGAATAAATTTCATAAGCATGATGCTTGTCATAGTCGCACTATGGAATTAGGAAGTTCATCAAATAGATGTAAAAATAGCCTTCTTGAATGACGAGTTAGATGAAGAAATCTATATGGAACAACCTGAGGGTTTTGTGGTTCCGGGCCAAGAGAAGAAAGTCTATAAGTTTGTTAAATCGTTATATGGTTTAAAACAAGCTGTAACACCCCACTTTTTCTAAATCTTAATTATAATTCAAAACCACAATTAACATAAACTAAGCAGCGGATAAACAACTAAATAAGATAACTAGTGGGAATGTCGCCGCCACAATCACCACTCCGTGGTGATTGCACAGGCTGGGGGTAGAACTAGAAACAAAGATTTAATAACTAACATCCATAAAATTAACTGAAATTGCACCGTGAGACTTGAAAATAAAAAGCAATGTATTTTTACTTGTTATTTAAGTTATGCACCAGTTATGTTCATTAATTAAACTTGTTTAAGCAAGCGTAAATAATAAAAGCAGAAATCATAAAGGAACGTAAAAACACAAAGAAATTGTTACGCAGTTCGGAGCTCCTTCTCCTACGTCTGCGGGGCAACCCATGTCTGCCCAATCCACTATAGATGTTCACCAAAAGGAGTATTACAAGAAGTAAATATAGATGACCTCCAGCCTTTACCACTACCACTCTTTCTAACACCTCTATAGGACTGACACACGAATACCCGAACAATCTTCACATGATGCTTCAGCAGTACCACGTACTGATCATGTAGTACAGATTAAATATTCTTAAGAATTAGATAATAAAACTCATTACAATAGGAAGCTTTGTAAATCAGATGTGTGCTCAGTATATTAATCTCCAAAATTCGCAATCTTCATCTTTCGAACTACTTCCTTAAATAGTAGATGTTAAGCCTCATTTGTGATCCTTAATCATAGCCTCTTATTTTGTTCGAATTAAATCACAACCACACCACTTTGTCTCTTTGAAAGCTTCATGCGCTGCTGTCTTTCTCTTCTTTCACCAATGCATACCATCCACACATTTAGATATCACATGGTCCGAAATAGACTAAATTCTAACAAGTCTAATTAATTTCTTAATTAAAAACTAATAAAGCTATTACTAAATAAAATAGCCAATTAGTTTAATGTGTAAATAATTTTTACACTTACATTAACTGAGAGTCATAAGGGGGAAAAAGAAACCCCGAAGTCTACATTATCAAACGTCATCCACAACATAAATCTAAAATCCTGTAAATAAAGTCATAATCAAAACATAAAGAGTTTAGACTTCTATAACTACTAGACTAGTCTAACTCGTTCACTTCTCAACGCTGGTCCCGCCTGAAAGGGGTTTTACAGACAACACATAGACAAATAGGAAAACGCCCGTTAGCACGAAGCTAAGTATAACCACACTCAACCCTGTAAAGTACTATAGAGTATACTTTTGGAAAAAAAAAACATTTGATCACATTCATAATCAACAATCTCATCACATAGGCAACTATGGATACATCACAAACTTTCTATATGCTTACAACCTATAATATCCACAGGTATGCTTTAACTACAAATAACTCATCAACATAAGTACACCAACACATATTTCTCATAACAAATCTCATCATAACTAACTCATGCTATCAAATTCTCATTAGGCAGAACTAGACATAAAAGACTTCAAAATGCACTAGGCAATCATACTCATAAACAAACTCGGTTAATAATTCTCATTATGCAATCTCATGCAATACTATACTCATGTGCAACTCGTGCAAGTATTATACTCAAATGCAATCTCATGCAACATTCTCTTTATGCAGACATGTGCTATCTATAAGTATACTCATACACTCGCTTGTAAAATAAAATACTTTTCTGTGGAGGTTTCTTAGAGCCACAAAGACTCGCTTGCTTTCTTTCTTTCTTAGAGTTGCAATGACTCGCTTTCTTTGCAAATAGACGAGGTAGGAACTTCACCGTATCGTGAACGAACCTATCCGGGCACGGCGTCTAGCCGGCCTAATACCCATCTCGTCCACCGAACCACTCTCTTGGTTCTATGCTCAAACTCTGTGGAATCAAGTATCGAACTTTTAGCGTGCACACCCCCTGACCAGGATTTCAAGCCTGGCGGGCAGGTTCCAACCTCGTAACGTGGAAATACACCGCATTACATGTACTGCGACCGCAATGTCCATAACAATCATCCAAGAGGACATAGTCCAAACGAGTCCTCCAAAACTTCATTGATATATATATATATATATATATATATATATATATATATATATATATATATATATATATATATATATATATATATATATATATATATATATATATATATATATATATATATATATATATATATATATATATATATCGCTCATGCATCTCATTAATGTAATATAACATCAGGCAAAAAGGCAAAGCATTTCTCTTTCACAGTGAACTTCAAAACACATACTGTGTAGCAAAATCAACACTAAATCCAACATAACATGCTCATTTTTAATCCAAATTCAACGAAATCAAAGCCAAGACGTGCGTCAAGACGGCCCCGAGATACCGAGCCACAAGGGCCTATGACACCTGGCCCGAAACAACACGTAGCTGAGCCATAAGGGCCCGGCCACTGCACAAAACACACTCAGTACATACTCAGGGACCTGGGGCGGGGCTCCTCATGAGCCGCCCCCCTAAGGCCGCAACATGGCCGGGCCTAGGCAACGGCCCTCTCCTAGGGCCGTGCCCTAGGCTTGGTTGGCCCGGCTCTAGCTGGCAGCCCTCCTGATGGGCCGCGGCTAGGGCCGTTACAATAGGCTGGTGCACACTGTGTGTGCACGAGATAGGTTATTTCATCTGCAAAATCAATCCCAAACAAGTCCAACACATCCAAAACATTATCAACACTTCAAAGACAAATACTAGATCACTTCTTAGCTCAAACACAACAAAAATACACCATTTCTACTCATTTCTACTCAAAATAATAGGCTTCACAGAGCCAAATATCAAAGAGGGTGTCCATGGGGTTATACCTTTGTAGATTCCTCCTATTTGTTGGGATTCCACCTTCTTCCCAAGCTATCTACACCCACG